GGATTACAGGATTCCCAACGAGAGGGACCTGTAGCTCTTGGAGCTATACTTCTGATACCTGTGCAAGCTTCAGATTGGAGAAGACTAGCCTACCGTAGACATCCTCATTTGTTGAAGAAGCAAAAACTAAATCTGGTCTATGGAATTCTCTATTCATGTTACTGCAAGATTCCTACCACTAGTCAAGGTTGGGATATAGGTGTAGTCAGAGGTATATCAAGAACAAAAGACTGTATCATATCTACTCTTGTGGAAAAACCATGGGGTCAGGAAACCCTAAACGTGAACAGGAAGACATTTCTGCTCAGCCAAACTCAGTGGGCACATCCTGAATGGATCTTCCCAGGTAGATTATTTCCATCGTGTCATTCTGATTGGTTAAAACACAAAGGATTCACGATTCAGATCTCATAAACTCACTGCGTTCTGTCTATCTGGCTACACTTCTGCAAGCAGCTTTGAAACCGAATGGTAGAATTCCTCCAATGGTCATGCTGGATTCCAGCACACTCTGCCTATCGGATCCTATCAGTAATCTACCATTTTTCACCCATTCTGGGCCCTCCCAGCCTTTTCCAAGATCTTTCCCAGGATAGCCTCTCCAGATGTTCATAAACTCAAACTCTCACCAGCCTCAGTCAAGCATTGCCAAGAATGAGAGTAACATCTTGTGGGAAGCCCCCCACCCCCACCCCCCCAAGAATGAAATATTTTGTGGAATATTAAAAGGGCAGAGTATTAATTATCCCTAAATGAGAAATAGAGAAACATGTTTTTTTAGAGGCAGGAAGCAGCCCCCACTTTTTCTCAATAGCCCCAGGTAAGGGCCTGGAAGATGATGATCATCCATTGGCTAAAAATGCATTTCTTCCCAGAGGGACTGACCCCTCTAGTACTGACTGATAACTACCCCTCCCCATGGAAACAGGCAATGGACCACAAGCTGGGCTCTTATGGACTTTCACCAGCATTCTTAATGTCCCTAGGCTTTGACCAAGCAAAGCAAGTAGTAATCCATAGAATGGAGGACATGGAGTTCCAAGAAGAACTAAATAGGTTGGCTCGCCACAGCAGGGACAGAATTAAACAGGGAGTGTGGGAATCAGCAAGATATCTAAATGATCTGATCTTCCCAAAACAAAGAATAGCATTCTTCAGAGCCAGATTTAATATTCTCCCATCAGCACTCCTTCAGGGCAGGTATAAGAAAACACCAATAGCAGAACAGGTATGTATGTGTGGTAAAGGAGAAGCTGGAGATATCTCACATGTTTTATTGTACTGTGAGTTTTACAGAGTATATAGGTCATTGTATATTCTCCCCTTACTAGAGAGATTGCCAGGGAGGGCAGACAATTTTGATGTAGACTTTCTCCTCCAGGATTCAAACCCAGCTATTACGGGTGCAGTGGCAAAATTCTGTGTTGCTGCAATGTCTACTAGAAAAAAAATGGGTTACAGAATTATAGCTGTCAATTTGTGACAATTTTTGGAGATAGAACAAACTTTGGAAAATGATATTACTTATTGGCTCTCCACTCATATAAACCAGGGAGTAACCCTAACTGTTTGAGAACATGTATTTTCTTAACAGATGTTTTTATCCACTATTAATGTATTATAATGTGTCAGTATTTTTTTAATATATATTGTAAATAGTGATGTCTATTGTTGGTTTAAGACCGTAATAAAGTTCTATTCTATTCTTAATAGCCCACAGCAGAAGCCAGCACTTAAAGAGATAAAGAGCTAATTGAAAGAAGTCGACTATCTAGATGGCTCTATTCATAAGCAAAGCAAATACCGCAGGCAGAAATCCATTCAAGACAGGATATTTTGAAACTGCTTGCAGCAAAGTTTTACTGCTAACAAAAGCAAAGTGATAGGATTAGAAGTAGTCCCTCACCCAAGATCCAACATAGGACGAAAGCCATTAGGAATTGCCTAACACCCTTTCAGAACACAAATCCCTTCGTTACACGACCCCCCCCAGAGCAGTCCAAACTTCACCTGGCAGCTCAGGTAAACAATAAGCCAGAGGTTGACCAAATAAGCTCAGACAAACACCTATGAATTTGCATTGCCTCTTTTGCCTATAGAGCCAGCTATGACCACTACATGACCCCATAGGAATCTGACAACAGCCAATGGAATATCGAAAGGACATGTTCTTGCACAAGAAAGTGGTGTGGTGGAGCTCTCACCTCACAATCAGGGGACTGTGAGTTCGATCCTAGGTGGAGGCAAATATTTCTCTCTCTGGGCACACGGAGAATATATCTGCTGAACAAAACTCCACATTGGTGACAGGAAGGGCATCTGGCCAGTAAACATGATGATGATGATGATGATGATGATGATCTTGCACAGGAACAGGAAGCTCAAATACAAAGCCCAAAGAAAGTATAAAAACCCACCCACTCTCAACTCCATTTTGTCAGCTGCCCAGAATGATATGTGGTTGGTGGTTCTGCTCAGTGGTGGTATGCTACTGGTTCGCCCCGGTTCACCTGAAAAAAGCCTCCCACAATCAGTTGAGAGGAGGAAAAAAGACAAGGATCAGCTGAGGGGAGAAAGAAAGGAACAGGGCAGAATCGTCCTTCCTACCCGCCCCTGCGCTTTTCTCTTCTTTATCCCCTCAGCTGGTGTGTGGAAAGCTGCACGGGCGTGCTAGGTGTGTCGATCACCAAACCAGTAGTGGAACAGGTGGGATCCCACTGCTGGTTCTGCTTCATCAATAAAGGGAAAACCTCTCTTTGCCATCAGCCTCCAGTCTTCATTTTATTTCCAGTGCATTTCTCCCAGCTTGGAACTGAACAAGATGGATATTTCTTCCAACAATTTAAAAAGTGACAAGTTCTCTGTGCCCACTTTTTCCCCCAGATTAAAAAGCCAGGCATCCGTTTCTAAAGCATTGCTGGGCATTGCCCTGTGAAGAGGAAGCAGGCGTGGTGGCCCACCTCAGACCAATCCTCTTTTAGGAACTGAGATTTGCTTCGAATGGCACGAAACAGAAAGGAAGTCCATAACACCCAGTCTGGCTTTTCTAACCTCCCAGTGTCTCAATCTTCCTGCCTCAGACTTGGCTACTTCCATACAACCAGTTGCCTGGAGCAAGGTAGAACAGCTTTTGTGCTGTGGAGTTTGCTTTGTTCTGGGAATGGCTGAGCCTACAAAGATAAGGCTGGTAGTTCCTCTTTTTTTTCCTGCTTGGCTTCCTCTGTAAACCTCCGTATGAAACCCTGGAATTCATTTGGTATCCCACCCAGCAAGCTGCTTCTTCTGAAATGAATCTATCTGGAGCATCCAGGGGAGACAGGATAACAGTCTTCCAATATTTGAGGGGCTGCCACAGAGAGGAAGGGGATCATGCTATTTTCTAAAGCACCCGAAGGCCAGACAAGGAATAATGGATGGAAACTGAACAAGGAGAGATTCAACCTGGAAATAAGAAGAAACTTTCTGACAGTGAGAACAATCCACCAATGGAACAGCTTGCCTTCTGAAGTTGTGGGAGCGCCATCACTTGAGACCTTCAAGAAGAGATTGGACTCCCATCTGTCAGAAATGGTGTAGGGTCTCCTGCTTGGGCAGGGGGTTGGACTAGATGATCTACAAGGTCCCTTCCAACTCTGATTATCTGTTTATCTTTTAGCCTTGTAGAGCATCTTTAAACATGCTGGAATAAATATGTGTTTTAAACAAAGCACCTGGTATTTTAATGTTGGAGCATAACAATTAAATATTTCCTTTCTTTATCCAGGGCCAAGACTTTGGCTGAATCTAAGTGATATGGCCTGACTAAGTGAAATTTGCCAGGAATTGCATGGAATAACTTGGTGGGTTAGTCACTGATGGGAGCCACAGAGATGACCTTGGAGAAAGGATTCGGAAATTGTTCCAACAGCAGAAAGTGCTAAAATATGCTTTGAGCCAAGGAAACTATTACCATAGGAAGAGTCTTAGTCTGGCCCCTCCTTTAATCCCTGTGGTATAAAACAGGAAAACATGGGCAGGCTTATAAAATACTGTTACTTTGCAACATCTTATCTTAATAATTAACTATAATCATGCTGAGGATTCTGTTAATCTGGCCAGCCTTGAAGACAGTCATACAGTGGTGGATCTGCCCTTCAATTCTTGTAAACAATTGACTATATTTAATGTAGCAGAAAGGGAAAAATTCATTCATTCATTCTTGCATCTTCAAGTCAGTTTTGACTTCTGGTGACTGAACAAGTCCTTACACTTTACTTGGCAGGATTTTTGGAAGTGATTTGCCCTTGCCTTCTTCCTAGGACTGAGAAAGAAGGCCTGGGCACAAGGTCATCCAGCCAATTTTGTGCCAAAGATGGGTCTAGAATTAACAATTGCACCAAAACTGGCTAAATGTATGTCATCCGATATGATTGATGTTAAATGAAATCAAATTTAGTTTTTGTCCAGGCCTGCTTACTTTTTGGAGTAAGTTTCTCCCAGGCCTGCTGACACAGGAAACTCACAGTTACAAAACTTAATATATAGTCATCCAGTCTTTGCTTAAAAATATCTGATGAACCAAAATACTGTTTTCTAAGGCAGCCTGTTCATGACTGAATCAAGAGCTCTATCTCATGATGAGCTGAAATCCCCTTATCATTTATTCATGCTGGTCAGGAATTATGGAACTTAAATCACAAAAGTTGTAGTTAAAGAAGATTATCCTTAGTAGGGACATTCAGAAAATCATAGAACAAAGTCGGAATTACTTTGGAGTAAGACTTTTTACAAGTTGGCATTGTTGCAGCCAATCCATTTTGAGCCGGAACATCGGAGTTTCCCAAATGGTAGGTCAACGCTTGAACTTCATTTTAAAAAAAATAAATCAAAATATTAATCACTGCTGATTCATTGTGTCTGTATTTCCTGAAAATTCTCATCATTCAAGAATCTTAATGTGATAAGAAATACCATTCTGTATCTGCATTATCTCATTAATCTTCTTTTCTGTTTCTAGGACCATCGTGGAGTGGCGTGCATCCAACGGTGTTCTCTCTTCAGAGAAAGATTTCACTCTTCATTGGAAGCATGATTGAATTCCAATAAACGGAAACAAATAAGCAAGTAAAGTGGTTTCCAGCATTGCAGAAGAGATTACGGAAGAGTAGCTAAAGCTTCATGTAGGACAACCGTATACCTTTTCTCCAAGGTGTGGTGTTGGGCAAAATTCTGCTAATTCTTTTAACCTGTTACCCAAAACAACCTGGTTTTGGGGATTGCGCGATATCTGAAACCGTGGATACAGCATGAGGCCTCTTTCTCCAGGAGATGGACTTTCCCCTCTGGGCCTGCTCACACGAGGGCCTGACTACTTGCGTAAGCAGCTGGAGATGAGCAGTGGTGGGCGGACGCCAAGTGCCGTAGAGAGGCTGGAAGCTGACAAAGCCAAATACGTCAAATCCCGGCAAGTGATCAACAGCCGCCAAGAGCCCATTCTGCTCAGCCACACTCCCCAGTCTTCCCCGTGCTGCAGGAGACCCCTAACCCTCCACCAGCGGAGTGAATTTCCTCACGGCTTGACAGCAGACCAAGATGGCCTCCGACCCAAGAAGCAGCCCCCTTCTCCTCAGTCCCCCATAGCGCGGCGAGGGGGCAGCAGGCGCCTACTGAGGCCTGACTCACTTGTCATCTACCGGCAAAAACGCGACTGTCCTCTGGTCAACAAGGAGAACAGCAAAGGGTACAACCTAATGAAGTGGCTGTTTCAGGGTCCGCTGAGAGATGGACCTCATAACTGTTCTTCTTCAAGGAGTCTCTTAGGAGATGGACATCTGGAAGAGACCCAAGAAGAGAACTCCATGGTTTGGGTACCTGCAGAGAAGGAGGACGCAAGGACTGCACATTCGGTGGACAAGTTAGATGGATTCATGGGTTGTGAGTCTGAGCCGAGTCCAAAAACCCAGGCCAGCTCTCAGCTCCGTGTTGACCAACCCTTTCCTTCCTCTGGCCATTGCCAAACAGGAGCCAAGAAAGAGCTGACTCTGAGTTATTCTCTTCCTCTTTCAGAGAAAGAACGATTCTTTAACTACTGTGGCTTGGACCACAATTTAGTAGAGGTGCTCGGAATTGAACGCTTCAAACCAGGCAGCTGGGAAGCCGGTTCCTTCTGCATCGGATCAGCTAGTTCAGAACATGATGGCCTTTCCTACAATGGGGAGCCCTTGTCTGCTGAAGACCCAAGTGACAAGCTGCCTGCATCGGTCTCTGTCGTTGAGCGAAACGCCCGTGTCATTAAATGGCTTTACAGCTGCCAGAAGGCCCAAACAAGGTCCAAAGAATCCACCGTATGAACTCATCAAGTTCTGGGGTCCAAGGCTCTCCCTTGATCCCAAGTGAGGGGAAGTCCTGCTTTGGAGGGGAGGCAGTGGTGGGATTCAAAACTTTTTACAACTGGTTCTGTGGGCGTGGCTTGGTAGGCGTGGTGTGGCTTGGTGGGCGTGGCTTGGTGGGCGTGGCAGGGGAACGATACTGTAAAATCTCCATTACCTCCCCACCCCACTAACCTGCTTTCCAGCTCTGTTCTCCTGTGCAGGGCAACCAAAGAAGACCTAGCCAAACAGCTGGGACTCAATTGGAGGCAGAGAATAGATGGGGGCGGGGCCAATCAGAGGCGGTATTTGCTGGTTCTCTGAACTACTCAAAATATCCGCTACCGATTCTCCAGAACTGGTCAGAACCTGCTGAATACCCACCTCTGAGGGGATGGCAAGGTTCACCATGGGAAACAGCAGGGAATATTGCCAGATGTGTCTTTCTCAAAGGGACACTGTTAAGAACCAGTTGGTCTTGAACTTTTGCTGAATTTTCCCCAGTCTTGGATAATAATGATTAATTACCATACTGAGAATTGAAATCTAACAGAGGCAGAGGGGCCTCAAATAGATAAAATATTTCCTAAAGGCAATGAGGCAATAAAGACCCAGTTTCCAGGCTACTTTAAGGGCTAAAATTTCTTGTTGCCATTCAGAGCAGATGAATACATTTTCCTTTCTTTCCTCATTGATTGAGAGCCATTGTGATGCAGCAGAGAACACAGGGAAAATTAGTTCAAATCTCTACTCGCCCATGAAGTTTCTTAAAGTGGAAGGTTAGGTTTACCTAGCACTTGTTCTATGAGGTTGTTGCAAAGATATATCCTGATATGTCCTGCTAACAAACAACCCCTGTGTACATCAGCTGGTTGGGTTATTAATCATTGCTTATTTAGACCCCTAACAAAGTGCTGAGCTCTTAAGGAATTTCCACTCCTGTTGGAAGAACTGTCTGGGTATGGTTCGCTATTGAATCATCTAAGCTTTCTTTTTCCCCATAGCTTGGTTCAAGTCCAGTGTGCTTGGCTCTTCCTTTATGTCGAAGCCTGTATGACTTGCTTCACTGCGCTGCAAGATGATTCTGCTTCCCAGTGTTCATAATTAAAAAACGTTGTTGATAAACTTGTCCGCCTTTGCTTAACACCAAACCAACTTTTGCAAAACAGCATCTTGAGGGGGTTAAGCTAATGTCAGGCTGGATGATTTTATGAGTTTTTACATTGTGGATTTTTAATGCTGTAAGTCTCCTGGAGTCACCATGTGTAAGTTGGGCGGTTTTATAAATTTGATTAATAGATACAATAAATTTATTTTCTGGTCTGGGAGAAGCCCTAGGCAGACACAGAACATAACCCTTGACTTCTGTAAAGTCGGAAAAAGGATGCATGTACTTCTGGAAAACTGGAATTATTTCTAGGTGAGGTCTGAGGATTTTCTTCAGCTGTGTTTCCTTCTGTTCAGACTTCACTACTTTGATGATGGGAAGAATCAAAAAGGACTCTCTAAGGATCCTTCCATACCTCCTCTGCTTCTAATCTTTAATCACAATTTGAAATGTACCCCATGAATTTCTTGCAGTTTTGAGAATAAGGAACACAAATCTTTAGCACATGCAGCAACAAAATTCTCCATTCCCTTCCAGAAAACAGGGAAGGGAATAAAATATATCAACATGAAGAAGTAGGAATATAATCACAACTCTTATCAATTTCATCCCTTCATTGGGGAGCTGGAGGGAGGGATACAAATCTGTAAAACCATTATTACCCTTTATGGACCCATTAGAATAGTGGAAGTACAAATAGCAATAGCATTTAGGCTTATAGACCGCCCCATAGCACTTTACAGGGCTCTCTGGGGAGTTTACAATGTAAGCATTATTTGCACATCATTCCCAACCATCTGGATTCTCTGTCCGGAAGGCTGAGTCAACCTTGAGCCCCATCAGGATCAAACTCCAGGCTGTGGGCAGAGTTTGCCTGCAATACTGCACTTTAAGTATTGCGCCACCAGGGCTCCTTACAAATAGCCAGGAGAAGGGAAGACACAAGAATTCTGCCAGTAGAGAAATGATTCGCCCCGGGGGCTCTTCAAGGTTCCATAGTTTCCCATGAAAAACTGATTTCAGAGCTTTTTATTTTTTAATTTTACAACAGAGCTGCCAAAAATAAAAACAAAAGGCACACCTGCCAAAAGTCAGGTATAAAAGGTGTGGAGATGATCTGGGAGTTGTCCAAATATCCTTTGTAGAACTGCCGTGAGTTGCATCTGCTAGAGTTGGGCAGCCATATACTGTACATTTCTTAAATCAAATCAATAAATAAATGATAAAGCTTCATCTTTAATAATGTGGATGCATAAAATCTCAGGCATTATTATGGTATCAGCTTGTGAAAGGTGACCTTTTTTATAACTGAAGGTTTATTGTAATTGAAGGCTCATCTCAGAAACAGCGTGCTTGCACAGATCTTATATGCATCCTAAGACAGTTGATACTTTCCATTGAATGCCCATGAAAAATTGCAGCCTACGAGTGATGAATACTGTCTGACAAACTCTAGATTATTGCTCTGCAGAAAGTTAACAAGTTTTTAAATTCTGATGACAGTCTATCTATCGCCACCTTGTGGTAACTAGATATATCACAACCCTTTTATACAAAACCTACATTTACTCTGAATAGGCAATTTATTCTAGCCCATTCCGTGAAAATACAAGATTCCATTAAAATGAACAACTTGAACAGCTACATTTCCAAACTTTATAATTTTGCAAGCCTATATTTCAAAACGTGGTCAGTTGCAGGAGTCGAAGACACTGTGGAACATTTCCCGTCCTTTAGGAACCCTACTTGAATGTCATGCCTTCCCCCTTAATAAGCAAAAACAAAATAATTAATCTGCAACATAGATAACACTGCAAAAGTATGCAAAACACCTAATTTCTTTGAAAAATTATTTATGTATACCTTTGCTGTCTTTGTGCAAAAGGCTTACAGACTCTAGTTTAGTTATAGCTAAGGAGAGACCATTTTTCTCTGCCTCTAAGGCAGAGATTCTCAATCTCAGCAACTTTATGATGTGTGGACCTCAACTCTCAAAATTCCCCAGCCTGGATGCTTTTAGAACCGCACGCTTCTAAAAGTTGTTGAGACTGAGAAACACTGCTTCTAAGGGCTGCATATCAAGAAAGTCTTGAGTATATTCTGATGGATCTTGAGTATGTGTGGCTGAACCAAGATATGACTATAGCCAGACTACGAGGTCAGTATGGATGCCAATTCCTTTCCCTCTGATATTCTGTTGTCTTTCCTCCCAGCAGCAAGCTGTAGGAAAGAGGCAGAGACTAAAAACATGCACATCGCCCAAGATTTGATTAAAATTATTCATTGAATTCAGTGAGTTGAGTTGATCCAAATTGTGGAATCTAACTGAGTCCAACTATCTGCTCAGAGAAAGGTGTTTGTGGTTGTTGAATTGATTCAGAGACATCCCCTTTCTGAGGCTTCAAGGAGAAAACAGCAATTTGATTCTCTTCTCCTATTCCAAGTGGTGATGTGATCTAATTGTCTTTGAACGGAACCTTCGGTTCACTAAATTCTAACAGGTAATTTTTTTTGCAGAAGTCTGAGCCAATCTCTTGAATGGGGACGAGTTAAAATTTGGCAAAGGACTGCCTAAAATTAGAATTATGACTTGGTTTAGCAGGTGGTCCACAATTATCTATGAACTTACATTTCCGTGACGTAAAAGACAATGATCAGTCTGAAGCTATTTCTGGCTATTAACATATTTAATTTTCAACACGCTTGATTTAAACATTACTTGGGACAGATCGTGAAGGGGGAAGAGTAGCAGAGGCACCATGTTTGAACAGAAGCCTCTTCTCAAGCAGTGAAACACTAGATAAGTACCTAGACCAGGGGTCTCCAACCTTGGCAACTTTAAGACTTGTGGACTTCAACTCCCAGAATTCCTTTGCTGGCTGAGGAACTCTGGGAGTTGAAGTCCACAAGTCTTAAAGTTGCCAAGGTTGGAGACCCCCTGGTCTAGAACATCCTAACAGATTAGGATGTTTTCAATGATGTTTTTGAAGGTGTTAATGAGGTAGTTATGTCCAATGTCTGCTTGTAGTAGTTCAGGACTGAAAGTTCTGCAGAGAACCACTGAACCCTCATGTCGATAGTCTTACAAACCAGCACTGTGAATCCAGGGGTACTATATTTGTTAAAAATGGTGCCAGCTTCAACAGAAACATTTTGAGAGTGGAGATCCATGATAGAATCGTCAATCTTTCAATCCTTCAATCTTTCTTTTGATGATTCTTGGTTCATAGAAGACAAGGATCTCATTACAGAGTAGATGCTTGAAGCTTTATTATTTTCCCCATCATGCTGCACCATTAATCATAAAGATTTGGGCTGAGCGGTTAGAGGCTAATTACTCCCTAAAAGTCACCTGTTGTCCATGCATGTTGCAGGAGGAAAAACATTTTGTCCAGTTAAATAGAAGCGCCAGGAATAGATGAAGATTGTAGCAGAATCTTGGACACTCTAGTTTTGTAGCCTGGGTTCTCTCTTACTCCACATATTTAGCCAAATGAGTCTCCAATCTATTGACACATTTTAGGGTTATAATCCTTGTCTACCTGAACTACTAGCTTCCATAAGTTATGAATCTAGAAGTCTATCTTACCCTGATTTGGGAGCTGTCTTCCATTATAATTCCCCAACCAGATTTGAGGATGATCTGAAATAATCTTCAAACCAACCAACCTTAAAACAGGATTTTACACTGGATTTTTCTCCAGCCCTGCTAAGATATACCAGGGATTGGACTGGAGACTTTGTTTACATACAAGGTATGCACTTTGCCTCATAACTACGTCTAACAGGGATAAAGGAAACTCCCTAAGATCAAACTGCTTTTAATCCTTGGTGCTTGGTACCATCTATGTTGTTTACAACAGCTGTTCAGGACTTTAGATCTTCCTCAGCCATTCCTGAGATACCAGGAATTGAATTTCAGCTCTGGATGAGATGGGCGGCACATAAATCCTATAAATAAATAAATAAACTTGGAAATTACTGGAAA